TGCGCAAAGCGAACCGACCCACCCTCGCCCTTCATCCGCTGCTTGGCAGGTCCTTCGTGGCCCCACTTCCACAGGGAACCCAGCGCCTTCACGGCTCTGGCCGTTTTTCAGACGGCCAGGGCAGCGGAAACCACCTTCACGGCACAGGGAGGCGGCAATGAGGGAGAAACAAACAGAGAGTCCCCCAGCTCCCCGCCTTTCCGGCGAGCCCAGAGAAAGATCCAGGGAGCCTGCCACGGGATCCGGAAGAGAAAGGGCCATGGATGCACAGGGGTGCTGCGACTGCTTCCTTCCAGCCAGGCTGGGAGCGAGGGAGACCAAAGGACCCCCCATCTGCTTTACAGGCCCCATGCTCTGGCGGGGCCAAGCAGGCAGGCGAGGCATAAGCCCCCGACGAAACTAGCCCTTGTGTTACCATCCTGGACTCCCATTCCAGCCTGGCTCTTCTTGCCAGCCACGGCCCTGCCCCCACTGCTTTCTTGGAAGAGCACCGGGGTGGCACTGGAGAGCGGAAAAGCCCCTCCTTCCCCGAATCCCCAAACCGACGTGGGGCACCAGTGATGAAAGGCAACAGGCCTCTATGCACCCTGGATCAAAGCAAAGCCGGTGGAGACCCTGTCCCACGTGCCTGGAGAAGCCCCTTCTCACCCTCCCCTCCCCACTTCACTTTCCTTTTCTTTCACCCTTTCTTCCCCATCCCCCACTTTCTTTCTCTTGCCTGCTAAAGAGATCTGGGAAGCTTGCAGCTGTTTTGAAGATTGCCCGTGTGTGTAATAAAGATACTGCTTCTCTGTGGTGCATGGCTCTGTCTGTGTGTTGTGGGGCAGGGTAGCACTCCACCTGCCAGTCGGCCTCTCGTCTGCAGTCTCAGGAAAGGCAAGGATGAAGATGACTGGAGGACAGACTGGCACAAACACTGCCTGCGCAGGTGCCCTTCCTTAGAAGCGGCCATAGGGGAGAGGCTCCAGTTTTCACCAAGGCCCGGCAGAGCCTGATGGGCAAACTCGGGTGCCAGTCCTAGAGGCAGGCGAGCAGGTGCTGGTGCCCCTTCCACAGGTCCCCGCCAGGCGACGCTGCAGGGCCCAGATGGAATGCAGCTTGCAGAGGGCACTTTTCGCCAGACAAGCGGCGGGATCGGATCAGAGGAAGGGTGGGGGGTCCTGGCGGTGATTGAGATAGGGCCCGGCTGTTACCGTGCGCGGGAAGCTCTTTGTGGGGACAGGAATAATGTCCCTGCAATAACCACGGGCCATGGAGGCCCTCAGTGGCCCAGCACACGCACAGGTCCTTTGCAGGGGACTGGTGGGACAGAGTCTGGGGCGGGAATCTGCGGCCGGCCTTCACGAGGATGTGGACGCGGCTGGCTGAGTGGGAAACAGTTAAGTGGAGGAAACGGTGGAGGCGCGGGGGCGGGGGTGCACTGTCTCTGAGCACTCAGGGAATCCTCTACTTCGGAGCTTCCACCTGGCTTTATCCCAGCGACCTGTTCGTACCACCGTCCTGTACCTGGAGCAAAGGCTGCAAGGCCGCAGCGCAGGCAGGGAGGTGTCTACCGCTCTCCGGGGCCACAGAAGGGGTCCGTCGGAGGCTGAAAAAGCAAGACCGGCCAGTCACACTGGGCGCAGCAGGGGCGGTCCAGGCGAGAGACTTTGGGTCGAAGAGGAGAGCAACTCGAGTCGAGCCGGTGTGCCCCCCTGGCGCTGGCGACAACCGACTGGTCTCCGCCCACCGCGTGACTCTGAGGGAGGCCAGCCAGAATACCTTCTTGCTCCGGCCATCGCAGGCAGCCAGAGGGCGAGATGAGCCTTGCGTGCTTCCTGTCCTGGAAAGGGGAGGAAAGAGGGTCTCGAGGCGGCCCCTTCCCCCTCCTCCTGAAGGCTCTGGTTCTGCTAGATGGGTTGGGGGGGCAGGGCTAGGGAGGACTGCGTGTGCTGTGGGCATTTTCTCCCCCCCCAGAAAGGATCGGGGGTGGCCGCGGATCAAAGAACCTGTCCAGTTTGGCTGGCCAGCAGCGAGCAGCTCTCGCGGGAAGAGCCCAGCCCTGGGCAAGACCTGTGGAACGGCAGAACTGGCAGTGCTTCGGGATGGATTCGAGCAGGAGAATGGGAAAGATCAAGGCGGGGGGGCACCATGCCAACAGCCATGGGGAAGGACGGCTCTCGCGGCCAGGCAGAAAGCCGGAAAGGAGCCTCTGCTTAGCGAGGAGGGCAGCGTCCCAATCAGCGATTGAGGCGAGGGGGAGGCTGGCACATAACAGGGCGATGCCCAAGCGACCCAAGGGCCGGCAAATACAGCGACTTGATCCCTACCCATCCTGGCTGCGAGCAGAGGGAGTCGGTGGGAGAAGAGGAGAGCGCCGGAGAGGGTGACCCCGCGGGAGTCGATTGGTGGGAGAGTCCCCGTACGATCCCTCCCCCCGCCCGCGGGGCAGCTGGTCCCGCCCAGCCCGACAAAAGGCCCTTGTGCGCCCGGCCGGTAATTGGCAATCATCAATCACCAGTCATAATGGCTGATGAGGCGGGAGGGGGCGGCGCTTCCCAGGGGCCCCTTGGCCGCTCCAGTGGGAACCCGCCGCTGCTCCCTGGCCCGGCCGTGGGGCGGGCGGCTCTGGGGGGACTCAGCAGAATTTGAGGAAGATGGATGAGCGCAGAGGCAGGGCGACACCCCTTCCCCCGTCCCCTGCCCATCCTCCTCCCTCCTCGCTCGCCCGCCCGCCCTCTCTCGGC